CGTTGTCATTTTGCCCATCAAAATCCAGTTTCCCTCTCTTTATCCCTGGGAGGAAAATGGGTGGTTTCTGCATGAAATGTGGGACTTCAATCTCTGCACCATCTGCAGGGTCCTTACACACTCAGACACTGAGATGGACATCTACACCAATAAAACTTGTGGTGAAGACATTGATAGATAACTTCAGTACACTCTTCAAGCATTTTTAGAGATAAAATGAATTGGAAAATATATGATTGTTAAGTTTATATGTGATTTTCTGTATAAACGGTATGTAATCGCTATAACAAAGGAATCTTAGACCTATAAGTTGAAAGACTACCTAATCACAATTGAATTACACCTCAGAGTATTCCCATAATGACTTAATATTGGCCGAGCAATTAGACTATACATAGCACGTCACGTTCTCAAGTGCGCTTCTCCCTCTCAGTTTTGCCTGACACGTTTGAGGCTGACGTAGGGGGAGCCTATATTTGGGTTGTGTCATCAACAATATTACAGTTTCCTGTCAGGGCCCCCTCCCCTCCCTGAGCTGGATATCTTACGTGATGATACACGTGCAGGTGTGTCACATGAATCACGTCTGACTTGTTTGAGGAGGAAGTTGACATCCAGACTGTTTCAGGCCAAGATAAAAGTAGACTTAATGGAAAAATCCACCCTCAGATATGCTCAACCTGTGTTGTTTAGTCCCACCCAGGGGTTATCCTGCGGTGATGTGGTGCGCCCACGTTCCCTCAACCTGCCGTGTCGACTCATACTGTACATATCACAGCTCCATTGCAGTAAGATGTTGTGAGCCTACTGCTGGAGAATCCGGTATCTCTGAATCTTTCATAGTAATTCTTGCCACTTAAGCTATGCAGGAGGAGATGTCTTACTGCATGTTGCACTGATGTAAAACATTTTTAAAAAATAGTCCTGTTTCAAGGTTTTGCTTTTCGGCAGTTAGATTCTAGAGTTTATGTTCATTCACTAATGAATAGAAAGAATATATTTGAACTGTGGATTGCATCTCACCAATCCAGCAATGTCTGTCTTGGTGCTTAAATCGCTGCACTGTAAGGCTGAATAAACTGCGTTCAGAGAGGTTGTGGAGGAGGGCTGTGCTGAGATGAAAGACATTTGTTAAAACTTCTGCTGTTGAGCTGCCAGTAAGTGCATAACCAAGTGATCGCGGTTAGGAGCCAAGAAAAGTTTTTATGACTGCAGTGATTGATTTATTTGTACTTCACACTGTTCACACTAAGGATAACCCAACATCTTGACACTTCACACGCCATTACTTCATTTAAAATTGCACTACCCGATGCACAAAGACCACATAACATTGCTGAGAGAAGACTTGGGGAGGTTGATATTTTAGGAAAGATGAGACTAGAAACACAATGAATTGGTTTCATACATGAGTACTACAGGGTTTTAGTGCTGAGATGTGGGATGTTGTACGTGTTGGGAAGAAACCTGGCACATTGTATTGAATATTGTGTTTCCCAAGGAATATATGGGGTTGAAAGCAGGTGCATCAACAGCTAACAGTCAGCTTTGAGAGAATGAAAAAAAAAATGTGTAAAATGTGAAATTAATTCCTGATAAATATATAATGGTAAGTAATGTAATGGTTCAATGATAAATGAGCTACATTTGTAAATGCATTGTTTTTATGCTCGTCTTCTAACTGCTAAGCTTTTGAGTATTGTTTTCTATAGTGATTGTGTGCAACTAATGCATTAAATAATAACACGGCTACACCTATATTTCTTCTCCTATATGCATCCATTACTGTATTATAATAACACATTATGAGAAGTAAAAACAAAGAAATAACATTGCTGTAAATGCTGAGATCAGTTGTTAAAACACTGCGATCTGTTGGTTTTTCCTTGGCTGAAGGGAAAGGGAACGTTTTTACTGTTTTTCTCTGGTCTGTTGTTGCTAAAACATTTATTCAGTGAGTCTCATTGAAAACCCAGATACAACTGTTTGCACACTCAGTTATCAGTGTGCATTTTCTTCACTGAAAACAAGACCAGTTATCATTATCAAAACATTGTCAAAATTTCTATTGTGGCGACATTGAGGGCCAATGGCTGTGAGATGCACACCTGATGACCTCACTGACCGTCTCCTCAAACATCCAGATTTTCTACAGCTATGTTTAACCCAGGAAAGATGTACACATCTTGTTGATTGGTAAATGTTTTACATGTAGTTATTCTACTTCTCATAAGAGGATATTTTTGGAAGAGCCCCAGGAGGGCCAGGTACAGTAGCTATGCTCAGTGAATTCAGCATCATTTTGCGACTTCAGGAAAGAGGGAGACGGATATTGTGTGTGTTAATGTAGCATTTGTTCTGTCCTTGAAATCTCCAAGGACTTGTTTACCTGGTTGTTAAAGATTTTTTTTTTTTTTTTTTTTACTAATTCTCTCTCTCGGTCTGTCTGTTTCTCTCTCTCCTTCTTTCTGTATCTGTCTTTTGCTCCTTTCTTGTGTCTCAGGTTTGTGAGCAGCCATGACAAAGTCCTACGAGTTCAACTGGCAGAAGCACCTGCCGGAGTTCATGCAGGAAGGCGCCTCCTTCGACAGATTTGATGAGGTAAAAATGACGCATTTCTCGGGTGCTTTTGGGTTTTCTAAGTAAATAAATAAATTAGAACAGCTTCAAGTGTAGAAAGACACTGCCACTGAACGTATTTATTTCAGATTGGTGATACATTATAGCTCATCATGACATTTTCTGATGCAGTAAAGATTTATGTTAAATATCCCGGATGAGCACAGGAGCACTCCACCTGTGCTGCAAGCTGTATGAGCCTGTCAATAACTTTGTTGATACTGACATGGGTTATTAGTTTAATTAGTTTCACCTTAATGATCATCCCCAGGTCGGTCATTAGCACACACACACACACACACACACACACACACACACACACACACACACACACACACACACACACACACAACAAAGCTGAGGCGTCTCCTTTATAACCTGACACGTCATAGTTGTAGTCAGAGGTCTAGCTGTAGGCAGGCCTCATCGATCAGCCTCATTAAGATGCCACGCCATGGCGACTGCTTGTCTGCTACACATCTACTACCAGCATAGAGCATTTTACATAGAGCATTAGTAATAATTCTGCATCCGCTATCTGAAACAATATAAAGAATAGCACAAGATATAAAAACTGAGCTAAAACTATAAATAAATCACAGAAATATTATTTGGAAAAAAGCGGATTTTTAAAACAGAATAAGTTAAAATCATTGCTCAGTGACAATCATTTCCAAGTATCTATCCAAGCCCAATATAATGAAAATATTTGGACAAATATTTACCAACTAAAGCACCAAATATCTGTCTTGCTCTGTGTGTGTCTGCATGTATATGACCCCATGTATATCCTCCTGTCTCCTTTCCCACGTTTCCTCTGACTAACTTAATCAGGACACTTAGCTAGGACATTCGCCGAGCAAAGGCAAAGTGTGTCACACACACGCGCACGCACACACACACACAGCCGTACACGCACCCTTGCACACATCAGGAAATCCCCTCAGTCCTCTCGGTTTATATGGGCATCAGTGAGGGGAGGAGGATCCCTCTTAGGCAGAAAACTTGAAAGAGCGTAGGGAAAAGCATCATCAAATCCACAGCCATGTCAAAGGGAGCCGTGAAACTGGGCCGGCATGCTTCTGAAGAAAGTCCTCAGTGTGTGGCTGCTGTGAATATAAGCCAGGCTTCGACAGGATGGGGTCAGGGCTGGCCTGAATGGTAATAAGGTCAACCTGTGCCAGTCACCTAACAGTTTAAAATTAATGATGTCAGCTGGGACATACCACTACCCAATTACCACTGCATTTTGTTATTAATAAATCATATTTTTAACAACACTAATTGTTCATATATGATATGGCCACCATGATGGTGCAGTGGTTCACACTGATGCCTCACAGCATAAAAGTTCTGGGTTTCCTCCAGGTTCTCCGACTTCCCCAGACCCCAGTCTGAGGACTGGTTATTTGTCTCTATATGTCGGTCCTGTGATAGACTGGCGATATGTCCAGGGTTTACCCCACCTCTCACCCAATGTCAGCTTACCCTCAAAAGATAAGCCGTTTCTTTTATCTGAAGAGTAAAAGCAAGAATTTCTTTGATAGAAGTTACATCTTGTTTGATTATCAAGTCCTGCCTGTTTCACTCAAACCAGTGAATCTCTGAAGGGAAAAAGACTGGAAGCATTGTCCTTCATTCATTAACAAAGTGGGTTTGTGGTCATTAACCTTTGACCTGTCGCTCATGTTTCTTCATGTTGTAAACATGTAGTAGTTAATGTCCTCCCTTTACAGATATCTTTCATTCTCTGTATCTGTCTGTCTTTGTGTGAGTGAGTGAATAGCTGTTGCTCAGTTGCCTGGCAAATACAAAGCCTCCAGGGGACATCTGCATCGATTGAAATGACGTATGCCAAGTCTACCCACCCACATAGACATGCTCTTTATCAGTCCCTCCGATACACACACAAACACACATATACACACACATACAGGCAAATATGCTAAACAGCATGGATTTTTTTCCACAAAACATTGAAAAACACTGACTGAAACCCCATTGAGTGACAGATGGGAGAGACAGGTAGTGTGTGTGTGTGTGTGTGTGTGTGTGTGTGTGTGTGTGTGTGTGTGTGTGTACATAGTTTTCCATGCAATTCAAAGCTTTTCCTCTTTCACTACCTTCAGTCTCTCAATAGTACATGTCATTTTAACTGTCTTTCCAAAAGAAAACTGACATGGAGAGATTGGAGGAGCACTTTCATGTCCCAGAATGCTTTCTTATAATAATGTTCCTCTCTCTGAATGGAGGCAGTGGTGGTAGTACCTCTTTTTCTAGTCTTGCTTTTATTTTGTCTGCATCTTTTCCAGTTTTGTCTGTCTCACTCTCGCACAACATGTCTCTTTTCATCCTGTTTTTTTTCACCTGTATCCTTGTTT